GGGAAGGGAGGGGAAGGGAAGGGAAGGGAAGGGAAGGGAAGGGAAGGGCAGGGCAGGGCAGGGCAGGGCAGGGCAGGGAAGAAAAGAGAGAAAAAAAGAAAAGAAAACAAAAGAAAACAAAAGAAAAGAAAAGAAAAGAAAAAAGAAAAACCAACCAAAGTCCAGGCTCCTCAGATCCACAGGGCCACCTGCTGGCTTATCAGAGGGCAGAAATCACTGTCCTGTCCCTGGCACCCGACCTAAGGCACAAGGCTTGTGAAATAAGGAAGTGACTCCCCAGAACATGCCAGACAGGGCCCCATGACCCAAAGCCCTTCCCCACCAGGCAGAGCACCCCATGAACAGAAGACAGCAGTCACAGGGGAAGCAGCGTGAAAAACTTTATTATTAACTGGTTTCCACAAGAAAACAAGTAGATATACCTAGAAACATGAGCAGCCTCTTCCCCAGCAGCAGGCAGGGTAGGGAAGCCTAAGGTTTTCCCATCTTTGCCCCAGCAGAAGTGGGACTCCAGGGAAAGAGCCATCCTCCCTCCATCACTTGGGGGACCTGCAGCCATTCAGGCAAGTCCAGCCCTGCAGCCATGGTAGGAAGTTGAGCAGCCAAAGGCCAGGCCAGGGAGGAGGTGGACAGAGGGGCCCAGGATGCCACCCCTCCGTGCTGACATCACCAGGGGGGCGTCATGGGCTGCGGATTCTGCAGATAGGACATCACCACTGCAGAGATGGACAGCCTACACAGAAGAGAGGCATCAGTGCCAGACAAAGGTGTGGCCCCCTCCCCTGCTAACTCCTCCCTCTCTAGGCCAAGCCTCACATGAAGCTACTCATCATCTGCTTGGTGTCCTCCGAGCTCCGGGAGTTGGCAAAGCTGATGAAGGAACAGTAGACAGCAACCCAAGCACACCACTTCAGCTGGGGAAACACGGATAGCCAGATCAGGTCAGTGAGGCATGATAAGAAACCCCTGCAAGCCACATTCCCCAAGCACTAAATCCTGGCCACTGATTATACTTGTACAGCTCAGGCCTACCTGAAGGTGCCCCTTAGTCCCACCTCTCCCCACCTGCTGCTGGTAGCTGATTTCTGGTTCTAGTGACTAACTCCATCTCTCTGACCCTATTATGGCCTCTGAAGCCCCTCAGAAATTTCCACATGTTCCAACACTTGGGAAGCTGAGGCAAGGGATTTGCTGCGAGTTTGAGGCCAGCCTGGCCTACAAAGTGAGTTCAAGGCTACCCTTAACAGCATAGTGAAACTTCGTCTCAAAAAGACCCCCCCCAAAAAAAAAAAATTGCACATGTTGCTGGTGGTCGTGGTGCACGCCTGTCATCCCAGCACTCGGGAGGCTGAGGCAGGAGGATCGCCACGAATTCGAGGCCAGCTTGGACTACAGTCAGAGTTCAAGGCCAGCCTGAACTACACACGGAGACCCTGTCTCGAAAAAGAGGAGAAAAAGAAATTCCCACACGCCAAGAACCTTGCTCTTTTCCTACAAGTCCCCTCCAAACTGCTTCACAGTCTGGATCCCAGCTCAGACCAAGCCATCACGGAACCACAAGCCTCGGACAGCGGCTCTCGCCATCTTCAAGTTTTTTCAGGTCACTTCACCCCGTCGCGTCCCATCTCTTCCTCACTAACGCAAGCCCCGCCCCCCAGCACCCCCATTCCCCCTCAGTCACTTCCTTCCCGCCCCGCCCCCAGGCCCCACTCCCAGACGGAGCCACACCCCAAAACACTCAGCCAGCCCACCTTAAGCATGAGACCGCACATGCTGAAGATCATTCCCAACAGGTTCATGTAGTCCGGCGTGGGGTCGTCTAAGGCCGGGTTACACTCGCTTGGCGGGGGCTTGTACCTGTGACAGGCTCAAGGGTCAGGGACGATCGAGTCTCGCCCCCGTGACAGACAAGTGCTTCCCGCGCTCCGACCCACATCCACAACCCGAGTCCTGTTGCTTTGCCGCTGGAATCCTCACCTCAGCACTTTATTGGGCCTGCGTGGGTCCGACATATTGTTCGCGGACATAGCGAGCCGAAAACCAGGTCGCGCCTCTTCCGCTGCTAGAGCAGCAGCTTCCGGTGCGGGCACGGAGGGCGGCTTTCAGAGTAACACCTGCTGTCCTCACGCTTCGGTTCCCCACGGCGAAGGCTATAACTAACTAACCCCAGCCGGAGAATGAGAAGAAAAACAAAACAAACAAACAAAAAAAAAAACCTCGAAAACAGGGAGTGAGTGCGGGGGAAACACCGAAAGCGGCTTTTCAGTTTCCCAACGCAGTCATCAAAATCCTGAAATTTTTCCCCACACGAGAAGCCGGAAATAGATCATGGGGGACAATAATAAGGTTACGCCTACGCGTGGTTTTGTAAGGCTCAGAAGCCTCGCATTCATGCAGACGTGTTCATAGAAAGCGGCGGGGACACAAAAGAGCGGCGGGGAGCGGGACCCGGAGCCATGGCTTTCCCCGAGCCAAAGCCGCGGCCACCCGAGCTGCCGCAGAAACTGCTGAAGACGCTGGACTGCGGGCAAGGGGCGGTGCGAGCCGTGCGGTTTAATGGTGAGCGCTCGCGTCTTCAGCCCAGGCCCACCCCGACCCGAGGCCGGCTGTCCGGTAACCCCTGCCCGGTGTCCCCCAGTGGACGGCAACTACTGCCTGACGTGCGGCAGCGACAAGACGCTGAAGCTGTGGAACCCGCTGCGGGGGACGCTGCTCCGCACTTACAGCGGCCACGGCTACGAAGTTCTGGACGCAGCCGGGTGAGCGGGGCGCCGGGGGGCGGGGTCCCGGGGGGCGGGGTCCCGGGGGGCGGACGGTGACCATCGCGCCCCCGCCCTCCAGCTCCTTTGACAACAGCAGTCTCTGCTCTGGCGGTGGGGACAAGGCCGTGGTCCTGTGGGATGTGGCTTCTGGGCAGGTCGTGCGCAAATTCCGGGGCCACGCCGGGGTAAGTTTGGGATGGGGCACCTCACTCCGGTGCGTGGGGTGGGGATCGGTGGGAGGGCCCTGGCGGCACCGGGGATGTCCGCGGTCACTCCTTCCCCTGCGCTCTGCAGTGGATGGGCAGCAGCCGAGCCCGGTCCTTAAAGTGCACCCCCCCAGCCTTTGTGCACCCCTCACCCAACCAAATGTCCTTTCTTTACCCTGCACTGGGAATCCTGCATGTGTCCCAATCCCCGAAAACCTAGCCACCTCTGAGTGGCAATTCCTGTTTCTCAGAAAGTGAACACAGTGCAGTTTAATGAAGAAGCCACAGTCATACTGTCCGGTGAGTCTGGGACCTGGGCAGGAGGTCCCAGGGTGCCGCCCTAGTGTCCCAGACCTGTCCTCACCTTCATACTGGCCATACAGGCTCTATTGATTCCAGCATTCGCTGCTGGGACTGCCGCTCTCGGAGGCCTGAGCCAGTCCAGATATTGGACGAAGCCAGAGATGGTGTGTCCAGCGTGAAGGTGTCTGACCACGAAGTTCTTTCAGGGTGAGTGGACCCCAGACTTTGTCCCTAGTGACTGGATATTGCAGTTACCCCTGTACTTAGGTTAAAAATCTACTCTCTAGGTTGTGGATGTAACCCAATAGTACAGCACTTGCCCAACATGCACATGGCCCTGTGTTCTGTCCCCAGCACTACTCAAAAGAAAAAAAGGAAAAAATGCCAGGCATGGTAGAACATGCCTGTAATCCCAAGGCTCTGGGAGACTGAAGCAGGATTGCAACTTCAAACCCAGCCTGGACAACACAGTCAGACCCTGTCACAAAATAAAAGGCTGGGACTAGAGCTCAGTGCAAAGGCCCTGGGTTCAACTCCCAGTACCACAACTCCACCCCTCTAAAAAAGGAGCCACTCTTACCAGCATGCACAAGGCTCTGCAGTCTGGTCCCTGCTGGCTTCCAGTTATTCATTCTTTGCCCCCATTTCTATTAAATGTGCCAAGCATGCTCTCACCTGAGGTCTTTTGCTCTTGGTCGTCTTCTGCCAGAACTGCCCCTCTACTGTCAGGGTTTTTGAGCACCTTGTACCAAGTACTCTTTTAGATGATGGGCATATGCCAGTGAATAAAATGAATAGGCAGAAATCTCTGCCTGTATAGGATTGTTCTAGTTCACATTCAGAATATCCCACATTACCACAGTGCAAGAGGATGCCATTCTCACTTGAAGAATTTAGATTGCCCAACCTTTGTACATGGTCGTTTCTTCTTTCAGAATGTACGTACACACAAAAATACAATTTCTTAAAAAAAATTTGGGGGCTGGGGGTTTAGCTCAGCCGCAGAAGTGCCTGCCTGGCAAGCGCAAGGTCATGTGTTCGATTCCCGGTACCGGAGAAAAACCAAAAAAAAAAAAATTTTTGGCCAGGCATGGTGGTGCACACCTGTAATCCAGTGCTGGGGAGGCTAAGGCAGGAGGCTCACCAGTGAGTTCAAGACCATCCTGAACTACACAGTGAGACCCTATCCCAAAAAATAAAAAAAAATAAATTTTGGCACTATTGGGATTGAACCCAGGGCATTCTATTCTACATGCTAGGTGCTAGGTGCTAGGTACACCCCGCTGAGCTACATTGACGCCTTTTTTTTGTTTGTTTGTTTGTACCAAGAATCAAACTCAGGACCTTGTGCTTGCCAGGCAGGTGCCTGTGCCACTGAGCTATATCCCCAGCCTGCTTTTTTTTTGAGTCAGGCTCTCACTAAGTTGCCCTGACTGGCCTCAAACTTCAGATCCTCCTGCCTCAGCATCCCCAGTAGCTAGAATTACTGGCATGTTCAGCTAGTTGAAGATCTTTTTGTGCCCAGTACTGAGGATTAAACCCAGGACTGTGACTCTGAGCTACATCCCGTCTTGTTTTCTTGAGACAGTCTATGTAGTTCGGGCTGGCTTTGAACTGTGTAGCACAGGTTGGCCTCATTCGATCCTCCTGCCTCAGCCAAGTGCTAGGCTTATAGGCATATACCACCATAACCAGTTCCCAGCCCTTTCGAAGTGTATTTATTAGCTGTGTCTGGGACACAGCCAAGAACTACCCAGCCCTAGTCCCTGCCCCCTGGGAACTACTCTATCAAGATGGATAGTCACTAAAGAAATAGATACCAGAGCTGGGCACGGTTGTGTATACACGGGAACTGGAGGACTCCGAGGGCTTACAGGGGGCTGTGAGCCTTGGAAAAAGGAGAGTAGATACCCCTTTTGGCCAGAGTTTCAAAGCCAGCACCTCCTAGTCCCACTCCTGGATGGGAAGAGCAGGGCCCCCCTCCAGCAAGGAAGACACAGGGACAGAGGCCACAGGTGCTCAAGGTGGACGTGCCCTCCCTGCAGCTCCGTGGACGGCCGCGTGAGGCGCTACGACCTGAGGATGGGCCAGCTCTTCTCGGACTATGTGGGCAGTGAGTGTGGCTGGGTACAGGCCAGATTGATAGTGGGGTGTCCAGGAGCACCCCAGCCTCACTGCCTGCCATCCTCCCACCCTAGGCCCCATCACCTGCACCTGCTTCAGCCATGACGGCCAGTGCACCCTTGTGTCCAGCCTGGACTCCACACTGCGGCTTCTCGACAAGGACACTGGAGAGCTGCTAGGCGAGTGAGTCCCTATGGTCCGCCTTGGTCCCCTCCCTTTCCTGCCTCCCCGGGGCAGGACTGGGCCCTGATAACAGCCCTCACCCAGGTACACGGGCCACAAGAACCAGGAGTACAAGCTGGACTGCAGCCTCAGCACACGTGACACACATGTGGTCAGCTGCTCTGAGGACGGGAAGGTGTTCTTCTGGGACCTGGTGGAGGTGAGCTGGCTCAGCCCTGTCACCCCCTGGGTCAGAAAAGGGGGAGCAAAAGCAGAACAGGAAAAGCATGTGGGTGAAGGGTGCTGAAGTTCAGGGGGGGTATGACAGGACTTTGGAAGGTGACACAGCAGGATCGGAGTCACACAAGGCCTCAAGTACCAGGCTGAGCCCCTGGGACCCCAGGGTGAGGGGAGTTGAGGCTGTTTGTGAAGCTTGAGCTTCCTCTGTGGGTCCCTGTGTGGTTTCAAGCCCCAAGCCCTGTCCGTGACATATCCCAGCCTAGTAGGGAATATGGAATTAAGTCCCCTAAAAGGAAGAACATGGGGAGTGTGGAGTCTTGGAGCATTGGCTCCTGCTCTGGGAACCGAGACGGTGAGGAGGTTCTGCCTGTGCCCTTTGGGCCCCTGGTCCAAAAGTTGCCTTGAAAGGAGGGCACAGGAAGGGACAGTTACAGGGCACAAAGAGGAACCACACGTTGCTTGAGGAACTGCATAACAAAGGAACTGCATAACCGGTCACCAGGGAAGTGACAGTCAGCAGGGCTGCCATGGACCTGGAGTCCATCGGGGCAGGAAATCAGGGAACAGGACCCGAGGAGAGAATCTTGGGCTCCAGACACAGCCCAGAGCATCTGCTGACGAAGGAGAGAGAAATCCCAGCACCTGAGGATGGTGCTGCTGAGCACTCCCTTAGGGCAGATACTGGTGCAGAGTCTAGGAGACCAGCACAGCCAGGGGCTGAAGGTTGGGGGACAGGCAACAGAGAGCCTCAGCCAGGTCTCAGGGAAGGGACAGCCAGGCCACTGACACCGCCCCACACCTGCTCCACAGGGCTCTCTGGCACTGGCCCTGCCTGTGGGCCGCAGCGTGGTGCAGTCACTGGCCTTCCACCCCAGCGAGCCCTGCCTGCTCACCGCCATGGGGGGCAGCGTGCAGTGCTGGCGTGAGGAGTCCTACGAGGCTGAGGGGGCAGCAGGCTGAAGCCATGGACCCCCACCAGGCCCAAAGACCAAGTGCAACTGCAAGGACCGAGGACTACAGGGGGACATTTATTCCAGAGACACTGATGATGGAGGGGACGGGGTGGTACCCTAATAAATAGAGGAGGGGAGGCCTCCAGGCTGTCGCTGCTCAGCTGCTCAGTCCTCATTCTTCTCCCGTGTGAAGGCGTCTGCTCTCTGGGCAAAGGTTTCAGCCACCAGCAGGGGGAAGACCAGGGAGGCATCAGCATAGACCTGCGCGGGGACCTGGGTAAGCCACACAGCCCACAGCCAGGAGCCCCTACGCCCCAGCCAGCCAGCCTCTCACCTTGACTGGCTGCGCATCCATCCGGATCTTGCCCCAGGAGACAGCCTCATCTGGCCGGGCACCCGAATCAGAACCATCAAACTCTTGGGCCGTGTTGATGTAGACAGCATAGTCGGCCCCATTGCGCTGCAGAGGACACAGCAGGCTGGTCACGCGGGACAGACAGCGGGAGGATCCTGGGACACCACAGCCCAAGAGGCTGAGGAGGGGGTCCCAGATGAAGGCAGCCCCATGTCCACGCCTGGGGTCACAGAGCTGCTGGGTACCTGTTAAGCATCCCTACTCCAAAACTCCAAATGCTTCAGAACCCAAGGCTTCAGGAGGCCATAATAGAACATTCCATACCTAAACTCACATGACAGGTCCCGAAAACTACTGCATGAGATCACCACAGCAGGATCTGCCACCAACTCTGAAGCTACAGAAGATCTCCAGACCCAAACACTATGTTCCCTCCACAGCCACCATCCCAGTCCCAGCCCATCAGGGCTCCAGGACCCACTCACGCTTTCAGGTCTCACCATTGTCATGGGGCTCCCCCGTCCCGCTCTGGGCACCTCCCGGCCCAGCCCAACCCCACCTCCCACCTCAGGCCTCCTAGCTGCTCCTTGATCACTTGAGGCACCCAGGCTCTCCCCACTGGCTGTTCCCTCCACTGTGAATTCTCCCCAGAAGCAACTTCCCCAAAACCTCAGCTCACAGTCACACCTCCCTGAGAGCCCTCTCCAACATCTTTTTGGGGCTGGGGTTGTGTGTGGTGGTGCACACCTGTAATCTCAGCACTTGGAAGCCTAACAAGAGGATCGTAAGTTCAAAGCCATGCTGAGCTACAAAACAATTTGAAGGCCAGCCTCAGCTACATAGTGACACCCTGCGTCAAGAAATAAATGAAAATAATTATTTTGGTACTAGACAGAAGCCACAGGTGTTCTACCACTGAGCTACATCCCCCAGCGTTCTTTTTGGTGGGGGACAAAGTTGCCCAGATTGGTCTGGAACTTGCAACCCTGCTTCACCCTACCCAGTCAGGATTATAAATATGTGCCACTGCCAGGTGTGGGGGTGCACACCTGTAATCTCCGCACTCGGGAGGCAAGGTCAGGAGAATCACCATGAGTTCCAGGCCATCCTAAGCTACATACTGAGACCCTGTCTCAAAAAGCAAACAAAAGTATGTGCCACCATGCATGGTCAGCACTCCTCTCTTTTCTCATCCCATCATCTAACCTTTCTTTTTTTGAGATGGGGTTTTACTATGTTGCCCAGGCTGGACTCAAACTACTGGGCTCAAGACCACACATCTCAGTCTCTGGAGGGCTAGGATGACAGGTGTGCACCACTAAGCCACCTGTCAACAATTTACTCCCACCTGTCATGCGCATCAACCATGTGATGTCTTTCCCCCAAAGAACCTCAGTCCAAGGAGGACCAGGATCCTGGTCTGTCTGGTCCAGTCACGGTCTAGGGCGGTGTGTGTGTCTGCATAGTGCCAAGTACCACCCCAAGGGGACCACGCCACTCACCATGAGGTTGGCATTGGCGATGTGGTGCTTGACCACGCCGCCGCCCAGGATGATCATCCCTGAGCGCTTGGCGTATATGGCCTGCATGTTGATGAGCCGCAGGTCTGGGGAGGAGGACTGTGGTCAGGCCTCGGGCTCAGGGGCTCCTTCCCTCCTCCTCGCAGGCCCCCCTACACCTTACCTTCAATGATGTCCAGCACGAGGCCCGGGTTCTTGTAGGAATGGAAGAACATCATGTCGCCCAGCGAGCCATCTGTAAGCGCAGGGCTCAGCACAGGGATGTGGTTCTGAGGAGGGCAGGGCCAGTCAACAGCTGTGACACAGAGCCTGCTGTCCCCATCCCAGCTGCATTCCTTTCTCCCAGATGACAGTAGTTAACATTTATTTCTGCCTCAACTGTACAATAAAAATAACCACAACTCCCTCACATGGACGTTAGAAACCTGCATACAGTCCTGAGGGGATACCTGACACTCCCCAAGCAGTGGCGCTTGTTATCTCTCAAATGTGGGAGCTTCACAGCCTCTGGGGAGCATGGTATCCTGGGCCAGGCCCCAGGGGAGTTGCTAAATGGTACCCCCAAATGTACTCATCTAGGAGTGTAGCCAGGCTATCAGGACATACACCGTCCCCCTCGTGTATAGCTGTGTGACCTCAAACAAATCACCTAACCTCTCATCAATGTTTGAGGCTCCTCACCTAAAAGCAGGCATGCTGATTGGACAGGTGACGGCAAAGATCAAACCAGTTAACACACCCCAGTCTAGGAACTTTGGCCCCACCCTCTCCTTACCTTCTGAGCCCAGTAATACACAGACTCTGGGTTGTTTATCTCTTTGCCAAGCCGGGCAATCATCCTGGAAGGTGTCCACTTCACACCCTAGGAGGGTGGGGACATCAGTATTAACCCACAGTTACCTGGACCCCACCACACTACACTTCCCAAGGCATTCGTTCTAGCCCAACCTCTGTGTTCTGTTCCAGCACCATCTGGTCCAGAATGGGCATCAACCAGTCCTCAAACTTGCAGTAATTATCATTAGGCACCAGCAGGTTCCCAATCCTTGGGACAAAGGCAAACAGCATCAGTCTTCCAGCTCCTGGAGCCAAATCCCTGCCCACCCCACTCAGGGTCCCACCTGTTGATACCGTTCTCCCGAAGCTCCTTCCCCCTGAGGCTGAACTCGCCCAGGTATGTGGGCGCTAGGCACTTAATGAGGTCCTCCTCCACGCCTCCAGCCGTGGTCACCAAGACGTCCACCTGCAATCACAAACCAAGGACGTTGGCCCTCACCTGGGGCAGGACTCCTAACATTAGCACTCCTCCCTCAGAAGGGTGCTCTCTTAAAACAGATCCATATCATCATGTAAGTGTTCAACAATTTAATGCTCACTGACTCAACAGCCAGCAGCCACCGCCCCACCAGGTCCCCACCATGTTGTGCTGCACAAGGTAGCGAATGGTCTCGCGGATGCCTGAACTGATGAGGTTGGATGTGTAGCCCAGGAAGATGGTGCAGCCGGTGAGCGGGCGGTGGCTCTGGGTCAGATCTGTGTGGTGGTCTTCGTCCTGAGCCAGCGGCTCCAGTTTCTTCTCGATCTGCAGTAAGGGCCGGGCCAAGTTAGGCTCTGGCCTCGAATCCCTGCCCAAGGGTCCCAGATGTGTTCCAGAGTCAGATTCCACCCAGGGGTCTCCTGTGCAGACCCAGTCCCTTCCGTGTCCCACAGCATCTCCTTTTCAGGCGCTGTCCCCTGCCCCCTGGAAAAATAAATACAAATCCAAGCCCCGCGCTGACTTACGCTCCTCCTCCAATTCCCCCCCCCCGCCAACCACATGGTCTTGACCCAGGCTCTGCGCATTCCTGAAAGCTTTAAATTTCCCAGAACCTGATCCCTACTTAGGCAAGGATGCACTAAAACTCCCACCCAGGGCAGGTCCCACGCTTGCCCGGGAAGCCCCGCCCCTATGGGTATTCCTCTGTCCACCCCGGGCAGGCGCGTCCTCCCCTCACCATAGCGTTGACTTGCTGCACCGCGCGCCCGAAGTTAGTGGCCTGGAAGCCGGTGGTGCCGAAGGCCTGCAGAAGTGCGCGGTAATCCACACCGCGGCTGAAGTCGTAGCCCCGAACCTGAGCGCTCTCGGGTGGCAACGCTGAACTGTGTTTCAGCACTGCAGCCAGCGCTGCCGCGGGCGCTTCCCCCATCGAGGAGCCCTCCATGGGCTTATGGGCGACCTCTCAGGGGAGCTCCCTAAACCGAGCACACGTGGTCATCCAAATGCGCTGAACCCTAATGCGCGCCTCTCTGCAAGAGTACAGGAAGTACTGCTCCGGAAAAAGCCTGAGAGAAGCAAACGGAAGTTGCTTGTCACGTGACCTTCCATGGCCTCTGCATTCCTGGGTGCAGCCATCTTTGTGTACGCGTTCCGTACTACGGGAGGCCTATGGAGCGTTTTTGTTTTTTTTTTGTTTTTGGTATCCGGAATCGAACTTAGGACCTTACGCTTGCCGGCCAGGCGCTGTGCTGCTGAGCTACATCCCCGGATAGCAGCTTTTTTTTTGCGGGAGGAAGCCATTATTTTTTAGGCGCTGTTCTCCATGCTTTCGGAAGGTTCATTCCTGTTGCAACCTATTGAAGACACAGAGCTTTCAGCTGCCCTTGTCTGTTTGTTCCTATCACATAGGACCGACAGAAGAGCTTCTAAACCGTCAGGATTTAGGTCACCAGGCAGGCAGTCAATTTCAGCCTCTCTGAAGCTGACATGTTAATGAGATAATGATTCTTTTTTTCCTTCTTGTTTTTTTTTTTTTTTTTTCGAGACAGGGTCTGTCTATGTATGTAGCCCAGGCTGGCCTCGAACTCCCAATGATCCTCCTGTCTCAGTCTCCGAGTCCTCCTGCCTCAGCCTGAGCGCTGGGATGATAGGCATGGACCACCATGCCTGGCTTTATGGGGCATAGGGTCTTGTTCCTCTGTCTCCAGTCTCCATACCGTACATAACCCCCATACCCTCCTGTTGTACACCCTGGGCAACTGACACCTCCTCCAGGAAGCCTTCATGCATCAAGAGCCTCCTCTGGGGTCCTGGGCTGACATCTCTATTGCTGCAACAATACTGTGAGACCTTCCCAACAGTGCATGGGGCCCAAGAGGGGACCTCTTGCCTCACTCTACAGCCAATGGAGTCAGTGCTATTTGCAAGGTTCTGCCAGACAGTGAGGACTCAACAATGAGCAAGACCAAGATGTGCACTCTGCCCTACTGGACAAAAAAATTAGCAGCAGTGATAAATCACAAGTTTTTAGAGGAGGGTGAATGCAGGAGCTGGTAGCCTTACTTGGAGGGACAAATTACATAGGAAGAATACCAAGGAGGCAACATTTGAACCAAGACAAGCAGACTGTGAAGATGAAGAGATCATGCTCCCACACTGCGACAGAGAACAGCTAGTGCAAACGCCCTGGGATGGGAACAAGACTGCTTTGTTGGAAGAACACAACTTCCTCCCTTTTTTCACATTTTTTACTAATATGTTTGAGATACATAATAAATATGTTCATATCTTCCTCCCAGACATCACCTTGATCTCAGAGTCACCCCACCAATTCCCTGTCCAACTAGCCCTGGTCCTTCTTTGCCTTTGCAAATGAAATGGCTGTACCCCTACCTACAAGGCTAAACTCTGGAAAATTGCCTGGGGTACAGTGATAGAGTGGTAGCTCAGTGGTAGAGTGTTTGCCTACCGTGAGCAAGGTCCTGGATTCCATTTCCAGTACAAAATAAGTCAATAAATGCTAGGTTCAGTGGCATCTACCTATAGTCTCAGCTATTCAGGAGGCTGAGGCAGGAGAATCACTTGAACCTAGGCATTCAGGGTCGGCCTGGGCAACACAGTGGGACTTCATCTCAAAAGATGATAATAACATTCATAAAATTTTGAAAAATAGGAACATGGATATCAAAGCTTTTTTTTTTTTTTTAGAGACAAACTGGCCTTAAACTCCTAATCTTTCTGCCTCAGCTTCCCTAGGGCTGGAATTACAGGTATGTCCTACCACACCTGGCTGTGAGCCATGCTGAGGACCCAGAGCATGTGCTGCACCAATTAACAATACCCCAGCCTGGGAGTCAAGTTTGTTTTTGGCTTCTTTTAATTTTTGTCTTTGGCTGGGCGTGGTGGTGCACGCCTGTAATCCCAGCACTCGGGAGGCTGAGGCAGGAGGATCGTTGTGAGTTCGAGACCAGCCTGGACTATAAAGTGAGCTCAAGGCCAGTAGGAACTGCAGAGTGAGACCCTGCCTCAAAAAGAGAAAATAATAATAATAATAATAATAACTTTTGTCTTTGGTGTTTCGAGACACCGTTTCCCTATGTAGTTCAAGCTGAACTTGAACTCACTATGTAGCCTAGGGTCCCTCAAAATCATGGTGATCCTACTGCCTCAGCACTCCAAACACTGGAATTACAGCTGTGCATCACTGGGAGTTGAGTTTGGGATCTCCCCTTCATGGACACTGCATCACCCACCTGGACAGCTGCCAACTCTTACTTGTAAACAGGTTGCAGATCCATGGTCTCCTGTCGGGTTCCCTCTCCAGCAACCTATCTCCCAGCTGAGACCACAGACACATCAGTGCTGAGCCCCTCCAGAGATGGCTGTCCCCTCCCAATACGCTCCCAGGACGAGCTGAGCATGGTAGCGCACAACTCTCATCCCACCACTTGGGAGGCTGAGGCAGGAGGTTTGCTAGGCGTTCAAGGCCAGCCTAGGCTACATATTGAGACCCGTCTCAAAAAAAAAAAAAAAAACCAGCAGCTCTGTCAGGTGGGATTTTCCTTGTTTCACTGCTATCTTTTTGGTTTTTGTTTCCTGCACAGTGCTGGGCACATAGAAAGGCTGGGCCTGTGCTCAGCGGCAGAGCGTCTGGCCACTGTGCATGAGGCCCGGGTTCAATCCCACCCCCACAGAAAACCCAGCAAATATGCTTGGCATGGGCTGAGTTGTGTCCCACAATATTTGCTGAAGCTCTGCCTCCCAGTACCTTAGAATGCGACTGTGTTTGGAGAGAGGGTCTTTAAAGAGAAAATAAAATGAGGCCCATAGCTGGGCATGTTGGTACACAACTGTGATCTCAACTACTCAGGAGGGTGAGCCAGGTGGGTTGCAAATTCAAGGCTAGCCTGGGCAACCCAGTGATTTGGCAAGACTTTATCTCAAAAAATAAGATTAAAAGGTGCACACCTGTAATCCCAGCACTTGGGAGGCTGAGGCAAGAGGATTCCCAAGAGTTCAAGGCCAGTATGGGCTACACAGTGACTTCAAGGGCAGCCTGAACTACATAGCAAGCATCTCTCTCTCTCTCTCTCTCTCTCTCTCTCTCTCACTCACTCACTCACACACACACACATACACACACACAGATAAAAAGGACTGGAAGTGTACCCAAGTGTGGTGGCACATATCCATTATCCCAGCACTCAGAAGACCAAGGCAAAAGGATCACTGTGAGCTTGAGGCCAGCCTGGGTGGTGAGTTCAGGACCAGCCTTGACTACACAGCAAGACCCTGTCTCAAAAAAATAAAAAAAAAAAATTTAAAAAAGACCCTGCTGCTCAGAAGGCTAAGGCAGGAAAATTGCAAGTTTGAGCCCCCAACCTGGGTAATTTAGCAAGGCTGTATCTTAAAGTAAAATATTAGCCAGGCATGGTGTCATACACCTGTGACCCCAGCACTCAAGCGGCTGAAGCAGGAGGATCATTAAGAGTTGAAAGGCCAGCCTGGGCTACACAGTGAGTTCATACCGGCCTGAACACACTACAAAGCAAGACCTTGTCTCAAAAAAACAAGAAGAGGGGAGGACTGTAAGTAAATAAATAAGTAAATAAATAAGTAAATAAAAAAACACTTGAAGGAGCAGAAAATAAATAAATAATAAGTAAATAAATAAATAAATAACACTGGATATGTTCAATCCCCAGTGCCACAAAAAAGAGGGATTAACTCTTTTTGGTTTTTAACTTTTGCACTGGCTGCTGTAAGAGCACAGTCAGGGAGGGTGCGAGGCGGCGAGCGCTGATGACCCAGCTAGCAGGCGACTGGCGTAGGTGGCCAGGGGAATGAGGATGGGCACGGGCCCAGGTGGCACAAAGGGGAGAGCAGTGCCCAGACTGACAGTTTCATTTTCAGGCTGCTCTGATGGCACCTGAGACAAGAGGGCACCAGAGGGAAGCACTGGGGTTGGGCCTGCGCAGTTGGGATCGGGGGACACAGTCCAGGTTGGCACCCAGCCAGGAGAGTGGAGGACAACTGGAGGGGGGTGCAACTGAGGACGGATGGGCCCTGGGGTCTGGGGCTCAAAGGAGAGGTAGGTGGGGGTGAGGACCAAGGCACCATAGACACCAGGGTGTAGATCAAGTCACCAGGAGTAACACCAGTGTGGACAGCACAGACTGGAGCGCGGGGGACCAGGGCTGGGAGCCTGCTGTGTGCTGCCCGCAGCGGCACAGGCTGGTGAGGACAGTTAGCAGGGGACCCAGCAGTTCGGAGGAAGCCGCAGGCTCCCTCACCTGGCAAGGGACACAGGGGGTGCCCACGTGACACCAGAGCAGCCTCTGGGTCCCCTGGGGCAGGGACCCCCTCTGCCATGGCAGCTGCTGCTGCTGCTGCTGCTGGTGACATTTCACTGGGTTCCAGCTTCAAAGTCTCTGCAGGTGGGGAAGAGAGGGGCGGAGAGGCCAGGCATTGTGGGCAAGAGCCAGAGGGGCAGCCACTGCAGGAGGATCAGCACCAGCATCTGCAGGAGTCTGCAGAGAGGTACCTGCACTGCCGGTCGAGGGAGGCAAGGGAGGAGCGTGGGGACCCTCGGGTGGCCCAAGGATTGCTCACACTCTGCCCACCCGCCCCAGATGTCCAGCAAGGTGGCCATTGGCAGTGACATCGGCCAGGCCCGCCGGGCCGTAGAGCAGCTGCGGATGGAGGCAGGCATCGAGCGCATAAAGGTGAGAGCGGATGTGGGTGCAGGGGCGGCATGCGGTGGGCACCCCTGGGCAAGGGGGCAGGGGACCCAGGCTTCAGCTGGCTGGCTTGGTCTGCAGGTATCCAAGGCGGCCACTGACCTGCTGCAGTTCTGCACCGAGCAGGCCAAGAGCGACCCCTTCCTTGTGGGCATCCCGGCCGCTACCAACCCCTTCAAGGAGAAGAAGCCCTGTGCCATCCTGTGACCCCACAGCAATACTGCCGGCACCCAGCCCAGGAGCCTCAATAAACACAGCAATTGCTCCCTAGGGGCGCAGACTGGCTCAGCTGAGATGGAGGTGCAGGGACTGTGGGCTTGTGGGGCCCAGCCTCCCTCCTCACCCTCACCAGGGTCACACACACCCCAGGGCCCACAATGCCAACATCCCCTCCCCGTACCTCACAGTGGCCTGGGCAGATGGCCCCTGTCACCACCCTGCAGACACAGATCTACAGCTCATGTCACAATCCACACACACACACAGCCACATGGTCATGTCACGCACAAAGAGGCACCACCGTAGACACAGGCTCCCGGAGTCCTCAGGGCCCCACACACACAGCTGCGGCTGTCACATGTACCCACCCCAGGCCACCATCTCCCACTCTGTCCCATGCCACACACCGTAGTGTCCCACACAAAGCTTCCCAGGGCCAAGCACCTGCAGAGTGCATCAGATTTATTCTCCTGAGTGCTCAACAGCGAAGTCACAACCAAACTGGGCCCAGGGGTGGGGAGCAGACCCCCAAGTGGGTCAGAACTGCAGTGTCACCTCCCCAGGCACAGGGACCAGCCACGGGGCCCTGCCTAGCCATGGCCAGCACTCCGTGGGTCCTCAGCCTGTGGGTCAGGGGCAGAGGCAGCACCAGTGGGGGTTCGGATCCCCCAAGAGCAGAGGCCAAGGCTCAGCCCACCTGTTGGCAGTGTAGACCAACGTCCACGTCCACGGGCTCAGGCCTGCAGCCTCCAGACCTCCAGCGACAGGCCCCCGGACGCGGCCACCACCACGTTGCCCTCGGCACAGATCTGCGTGGCAGAGACAGAGAAGTCAGGGGCAGCGTGGGCTCCAGGAGGGCAGCGCAGGGCGCGGGCCAGGCCTTACCCCATTCAGCACGTTGTGGTGGCTGCGTGTGCAGATGGTCCTGGGCGGGTCCGTGGGCACGTGCACCTGTCAGGGAGCAATGGTCAGAGGGTGGGAGGCGTCTCCCGAGCGAGGTCAGAGGGGAGGTCACACGGACCGCCGTCCTTACCCGGATGGTCTTGTCAGTGGATGTAGTGTACAAGGCCCCCAGTGAGTGTTTGATCCCTGTGATCTGAGACTTGTGGCCCACATCAAAGGACTGTGGAAGGAGACACAGGTGACAGTCAGGGACAGCTCTACCACCACCACTCAGGGGCAAGAAGGGGGGGTGGGAAGGAGACCAGGGAAGGGACAGAAGGCATGGGGCCCATGCAGACCCGGACAAGCTGGAAGCAGCCGTCATGGTTGGCGAACACGTGCAGCAGGCCCTGGTTGTCACCAGCCCAGAGCTGGGGCTCCTGGTAGGACATGCAGAGCAGGTAGGAGTCCAGCTGTGGGAGGAAAGAGGACAGAGAGGCTCAGGTGGGCTTCGGATAGCAGCTGGGCCTCCCATCCCCAGGGAGGCGGGGAGAAGGGGAGGGAGGCGCCCACCTGCAGTCTCTGCAGGACGCTGTTGGTGCGGCGGTCAAACACCACCAAGGTGTGGTCCTCACTGCCCGAGATGATGTGCTTGTCGTCCGCCAGCAGCGCCAGCACTGCGCTCGAGTGCAGCCGCCGGCTCTTCAGCAGGGTTGGGCCAGCTTGGAAGGTGATGCGGGCCAAGGAGGGGAACATCAGAGCCCCTCGGAGACACCCAGGCCCTCTTGGGGATCCCAGGACACCGTGTGCCCTGGTGAACCCCTCAGGTTGCTCCGCCCCCTCCCCGCAGCCGACAGTCTCCCCGGCTCCCTCCTAGCTGGATCTGGGACCCCCCAGGTCTTGGCTCTTTCCTGTCCCTCTGCCAAGGAAGCTCTTCTCCTATCCCAGGCCTGGCTACAGCTCTGCGTGGACAAAAGGTATTCAGCGTCCTTCAATTCGACAAAAGGAGGAATAAAACACTGGAAAGACTTGTGTGCAGGCAGTCTTTGTTCTACATGTTTTGGGTTTTTTTTTGTTTTGTTTTGTTTTGAGACAGGATACTCTAGGCTGGCCTTGAACTCACTGTGATCCTCCCGCCACAGCCTCCCAAGCGCTGGCCCACTACACCTGGCTTGTTCTAGATGACTCGTGGAAACTAACTTGTTTAATCTGATTTTCTTCCTGCTGCTGGGGATGGAACTGAGCCCTTGCATGTGCCAGAGCAGAGCGCTGCCATTGAGTCACACCCAGGTCTACCAGCGTGTTCAGTACCATCCCTGCTGTTAACCCCGAGGCTGCGGGCCTCACAAGGGTTTGTATCTGGGAATGGAAACGTCGCCGGCGTTCTCCCCACGTGTTGTACCACTGATAGGGAAACACTGGCTCAACTTGCCTAGGGTCACAGAGCTAGGATGTGGGGAGCCAAGATCGTACCCCGACCCCAGGCCTTTGTGTCCCCTGCCCCACCTGCCTGTGTAGCCATGGTACAGCCCAAACCTCTCTCAGGATGAGCACCTGGCTGGGTGACTTTGTCACCTTTTAATGACTCTAAAACCCCAAGTGGCCCTGTGCTTCCCCACCTGGGCCCCAGGACCCCCAGCCCACCTCTGGGGTCGTAGATGGTCACCTTCTTGTCATAGGTGCCGGCCACCAGGATGTCAGGCCGGTAGGACAGGCAAAGCACCGCCGCCTTGCTCCTGGGGACACACAGACCGCAGTGTTGGGCCAGTGGCCAGGCAGGGCCCTACCAGCCCCACATCCCTGCCAGACCCCCTCCCCTCCTACTTTAGTTCACCGAACTGCTGCCCATCAGCCGCCATGTCCCACAGCTTGACAGTACTGTCCCAGGAGCCAGAGCACACATGGTGATCCTGGGCCGCCAGCGACCACACCCAGCCCTGCAGGAAGGGACAGCAGTCACACCCTGCCCTCTCTTCCCCACTGCCCATGGGCGCGAGGCTGGGTGCTTCTTGTTTTTTGCAGACAAGGCTCACAGAGGTCACCAGATTCACCTGAAGCCACACATCTTTCCCTCCCTGACGTCCACTGTGAAATACACTGTCATACAACATACAACTCTAACTTCACATCCCCATCCCACAGGACCAAAGCAGGAAGGCAAATGACCCAACGACTCAGAGCCAGTCCAAACCTGGGTAAAAACAGGGTTGGGGGAGGTCTGGCTTTGGACCCTGGGGCATGCACACACCCTCTCAGTAACATCTCTCTCTTCTGCAGGAACTTAGCACCAGTAGTAGTCTGAGGCTGTGTGGAAATATGATTAAGAGTGCAGCCTCAGCTGGGCATGGTGGCACACACCTGTAATCTCAGCATTCAGGAGGCTGAGACAGGAGGATCACCCACGAGTTCAAGGCCAGCCTGGGCTACATAGTGAGACCCTGTTTCAAAAAACCAAAAACAAAAGAATGCAGCCTCAGTCAGGTGTGGTGGAACAGGCCTGTAATCGCAGCACTTGGGAAGCAAAGGCAGGAGATTTCAAATTCAAGGCCAGCCTGGACTACATAATGAGACCCTGACTCAAAAAAAAAAATTTTGCCCAGAGTATGGGCAGCTGATGAACTTACTCCTCATCAAAGCCTCTGGGAATGGTGCTATCATGTACATATCGTTTTTAAATATACATTACGAGGCTGAGCCACAGAGAAGTTAAGTCTCTCACCCAGGGTCACATAGTCAGAACATAGCACAGTGGAGATTTGAACCTAAGACCTAATCTGCTGGCCATATGCCTGGGCCACCTTGATGACTGGTGGAGGTGCCCCTCCACTGACACTTTTTTGTTTGTTTGTTTGTTTGTTTGTTTTGAGACAGGGTCTTGCTATGTAGCCCAGGCTGGCCTCAAACTTGTGGAGATCCTCCTGCCTCAGGCTCCTGAGTGCTGGGGTTACAAGTGTGCACCATCATGCCAGCTCTCTGCGACTTCTCATAAAAGAGCTGAGGGCTGCTGGTCCCCAAAGGCAGCCTCTTCACTGCCCCTACTGGGCCTCTCGAGGTATAGCTTACCTCTATTGAGCACCTACTATGTGCCAAAGCCCACAATTAACACGCTCATATTAATGCACAGTTCACATTCACTCATTCTCATCCTCACTGCCCACTGGATAGAAAGTGAGGAAAGTGGAAAGTGAGGCACAGAAAAGTCACATCTCACCCAAAACCATACAACAGTAGACAGCCAGATGCAAATCTACACAGTCTGGCACCAAAACCCAGGCTCTTGCCAGGAATGGTTGCACACTCCTGTAATCCCATCATTAGGGAAGCTGAGGCAGGAGAAACACTGTGAGTGCTGGGCCACCTGGGCTACATAGTGCAACCCTGTCCCAAAACAACAACAAAACCCCAGGCTCCTGGCCAGCAGACCCTACCCGCTCCTCTTGCCTCCTCCCTGCCATGGCCCCTCACCTTGTGAGTGCTGCCCTCCTGGGTGCCCAAGGCCTTGACCAGAACCCGGCTGGGCTCTGCCCCGAGCTGCCGCAGGTCCCACAGGTTGACATTTCGATCTCGAGAGCCCGACAGACAGAGTGTCCCATCCTGGGAGGGCAGCAGGAGATGTTGTTGGGGCCCCCTTGGCACTCCTGTGCCTGCCCCCACACTGAGCACACCTCACCTGAAGCAGCAGCACTGAGTCAATGGAAGCAAAGTGCCCATCAGCCAGGCAGAAGTACTCGGCCTGGCGCCCATCCTCAGCCCAGCGTGCCAGGTGCTGCTCCAGCTCAATGCAGGCGGTTGGCCAGTCGAAGTCCTCCTCTGTGGGGCACCATGAGCAGGGTCCCTGGTGGGAACCAGTTTCCCGGGCGCCCAACCTACACCCAACCTGTACAGATCCTCAGCTGAGCCTGGCAGGGTGGTGCACGCCTGTAACCCCAGCATTTGGGAGGCTGAGGCAGGAGGATCACTGCAAGTTTGAGGCCACCATGCGCTACACAATGAGTTCAAGGCCAACCTGAACAACATAGACCATATTTCAGAAAAAGAACTCCACCTGGATCCCTTGCCCCACCCCAGGCAGGCCCAGGCACTAACCCTGGTGCCATCTGACTAACTACCTCCCAGCAGGTTAAGAAAACTCCTTACCCTTGTTTCCAAAAATTGGGGCATTGACAACACTCTTCCAGAGGGAAGGGAAAATAAAAAGATTTAAGATGTGTTAAGTTATGTAGCAACACTCCATGATGAATGTAATCATTATGTACTGCAAACATGTACTAATAAAAATAAAAATTTAGCTAGGCATAGTGATACATGCCTAAGTAATCCCAGTACTTGGGATTTGTATTTCAGCCTGGCCTTGAACTCACTTTGTAGCCCATGGTGGCCTCAAACTTTCGGTGATCCTCTCCCCTCAGACTCTCAAGTGCTGGGATCACAGGTGTGAGTGAGCAACCATGCCTGGCTCCTCATTTTCTTGAGACAAGGTTTCATGATCATAGTCCAGGCTGGCCTTGAACTCGTGGAGATCCTCCTGCCTCAGCCTCCCAAGTGTAGAATTCAAGCGTGCACCCCCGTGCCTAGCACAAGCATCTGCATTTTTCAAACTTTTGGAAGAGTCCAATTGCAGGGTGCAGATGTCAACACCTTGAGAATCACTTATGTAGGAACCCCACCCCTCTGCAGAATCACTTTTCTGGTTAGTAATCAACTATCCAACTTGTACCTCGTGTGGACTCAAGGGCCTGTAGATCCAATAATATCAGGATCAACAATAATAATGCAAGCTCCCTAAACTGTCTTCTTTCTCAGGAACCAAAGAAGCCAAGAAGGAGAACCAGCCCCTCTCTAAGATGACAGTTCAGACGCCCGGCTTGAAGATCTATAATAGCTAGTATTAAGTATTTGAGCCCCTGAACCTTAGGCTCTTTCAAGGGTTACGGACTCCAGAGCCAAGCCCAGCTCTGATTCTCTTGGTGAAACGCTATAGGGGCCAAAGACTTTGGCACCACCAGAAACAACTTCAACCTCCCCAGCCAGAGCCAGAACAGCCACGAAGCCCGCATCAGACTCTGTACGTGGCAGCCGGGTGCCCCTCTCCCACCACAAGCCTGCCCTGGGCTGGACTCCCGGCCCCCACCTTCTACCACTGGGTAGGGCGCGCGGACGCGGCGCTGCGCGCGGAGCCTCCAGGTGACCTGGTCCCGCACAAGGTCGCGCAGTGCGTGGCACACGCGCGGAAGGACATGGAGCACGAGGCGCGCGTCCAGGTAGGCGCAAATCTCGAGGAGCAGCTCCGGAGGCAGGCTCAGCAGGCCCGGCGCACCCACCGGCGGGACCCTGGATGCGGCCCTGGGCTCCAGGGCGCTAGGGGCTGCTGCGGGCGTGGACAGTAACGAGGCGCGCGGGAGAGCCAGTCCGGGCTTCAGCGGGCCAAGCACGCGGGCCACGTAGGCTTCGGCCTGCGCGTCCGGGTCCGGCTCAGGTTCTGGGTCCGAGTCATCATCTAGGGCGCGGGGAACCTCGCACTGCCCTGGAGGAAGCTCCATGGCGACCAGGTGGGCGCGGCCCGCCCGGCTCGGTCAGCTGTCCTCCTCGCGTCCCGTCTCCTAGGCAGCACGAGGGTCCTTCCGGCGCGGGCTGGTGACGTCAGAAACCCACCGGAAGGAAGGCTACAAGGCAGCCGGGTGCCTAAGACGTGCTTGCCTAAGAAGCGTCGCGTTTGTTGGCGGCGTTAACCTTGTGCTGGAAAGTGCGAATTCCTGATTCCTACATTTTAAAACAAGCATTCCTGTGATCCCGACGCAAGTCAGTTTTACTTGGAAGATTATGCTTCCAGGAGCTGGAGCTATTTCTTACTTTCCTCAGTAGGTGCGGCCAGCAGCTGAGCTGAACCTTCCTAAAAAAATTTTTTTGAGACAACCTCACTGAGTAGCCCAAGCTGGCTCCAATTTTTATTCCCGAGTGTTGGGATTACATGAGTGTGCCACTATGCCCGGGAGGTTAGAAATTTTTTTTCACCTCTTCAAACTGCTTATACAGATCCATGAATTTCATTTTGGCAGATTCATACATGCCCTTGACATACTCTGATCATGTTCACACACATTCTCCAGATTTTTGAGGACTAGCCTATGAACAAGAATTATCTGGGTTTGGTGGCACAAGCCTGTAATCTCAGCAATGGAGAGGATGAGACAGGAGGATCACCAAGAATTCAAGGCCAGCCAGAACTGCATAGCAAGACTGTCGAAAAAAAAAAACGAGAACAAAAAAAAAAAAAAACATGAGATGGGCGTGGTAGCGCACACCTGTAATCCCAGCAGTCAGGAGGCTGAGGCAGGAGGATCCTTGCAAGTTTAAGACCAGCCTGGGCTACAAAGTGAGCTCAAGGCCAGCTTGAACTGGATAACAAGACCTTGTCTCAAAAAGACCAAAAAAAAAAAAAAAAAAAAAACCCACTTTATTTTCAGACCTGAAAAATTAACCATATCTGATTTATATATATATTTTGATTTATTTATTCATCATGGTAATGGAATATAGTGTGAGGGAAGGACTGTGATTGCTAATGAACTAATTACCGATGGTCGGCGTATGATCCCCAGCCGTGCTGAGTGCACGTGGTGCGGGGTGTGGGAGGCTCGCCCCAGGATTGTTACCATCAGCTGAGAGGCAGAAATGGAAAGGGATAATGAATGGATAAAAGGCAATTGAGAGGAGTGGTCGGGGCGGCAGTCCCAGAGGCTGTAAGCCCCTGATCCCAGACTTTTGCCTCTCCTGTTTTTCTTATCTCTTTTACCTTTTCATCCACAGGCACCTCGTTCTCGGGACCTGTCACCACAGTTAATATCAACATATGGTGCCACGTACAGGGACTTGAGTACAAAAGTAAGTCTTCGAGACTAGGATGAAGAAATTAGGGACCTGAGTACGAAAGTAAGTCTAGGAGACTAGGGTACGAAAGTAAGTCTTCGAGACCAGCAAAGGGAATTAAGGAAATTAAGTCAGTGCTCGACGGACCGGCGGGCAGGTAAACCCGGTCTCCGGGATTATTCATCAGGGTCATGGGAAATTTTATGTTTCGGGGAAAAAAAGAAAGTAAGAGATTTTACAGGTGATAGGAAATGAGGACCCGGCACAACCCTCAGCCCCCATATGTGATTCTTTGGCCTCTGAGGATGTTACTTTGGATAAGTATGTAAAAGCTTGTCGGGATATAGGATCAGAAACTTTAAAGCAGGATTGCTTGCAGCTGCTTTAAAGGGAAACAGCCCTTGTACTCAAAAGAATGTTAAACGTTTCGAGGGCGGTAAAACAGGGCACGCGAAAAAGGAGTGTAGACCAGCAAGACAAAGAATGGATGACTGGATGAAACGAAAGGTTAATATTTCAGAAGATTCTTTACCCATGAAGGTTTGTCCTGGGTGTCAAAAAGACGGCACTGGGCTAGTCAGTGTCAATCAAAATATCACAAAAATGGTGCTCCTCTGATACTGGCAGGAAACTTCAGCTTGAGCCCAGCCCAGGGCCCAAGGATAAACAATACGGGAAGCTACCAAGCATTTCTAGCCAGCGAGAGTTACAACCATGCCCAAGCAGAGTCGGTGATCTCTTTGCCGCCACCAGAGGTAGCGCAGCATTAGATATCCCCTCCTTAGAGAATGTCATGTTGTCTCCTGCTTTGGGAATTCCAAAGATCAGAACCAGGATTTATGGGCCTCTGTGAGAGGAATCAGTTGGTTTGATTGTGGGAGGAAGTAGTTTGACTTCAAAGGGGATTGTAATGCAGATAGGAGTAATGGATTGTGATTCTGGGGATGGGATTCTGGTTATGATGCACTGCCGTGTCGGGTTGAAGCAGGACAGCCTATAGCCCAATTGTTGCTTCTTCCATATGTGGAAGGTCGTGCCGTTCCCATGGAGCGTGGGGGGGGGGGGTTTGCAAGTATTGGAGGAGGAATTTTTTGGCTAACCTCTATAGGAGATAAAAGACCTGAGTTACAACTGAAAATAGATGGAAATCTTTTGGAAAGATGTTGATACTGGGAAATGGGAAAAAGGTTCAAATTTGGGGGAAAGGATTTTCTTGTGTCATTACAGATTCAGGAGATAAAGTGTGCTTACCTGCTAGAAGAATTAAACCTCGACATGAGCCATGAAAGAGTCAGATAAGATCTGAATCCTCCCGTGGAAAAAAGGAGAGTGATGCCACTACAGCACCAGCCTTGGATAATAATCAGGAGCATTCAGAAAGCATAACCCCCCAATTTAGGAACAACTTAAGAAAGTAACCCATCGTCTGGAGAGCTGGCTGCGTTTCAGTGGAAAATATTTATAGCTGGTAATATATTTTTAGCCGTGTTGGCTGTCATAGCCACTATGATAGGCATTGACTTTATAGAATCAGGCATATAGGCCTGTATTAATTTGTGGTATTGAATTTAGATAGCTTCTTGGTCTGCATAATACACGGGGACCATTTATAATGACAGATACTCAAATTATAAATTTTTAAAATTGTAATAGAATTACTACAGTATGATTTGGTAAAAGGTTTGTTTGAGTGCACTCTGATTTTGTGTAAATGTTTGTATGTTCTGTGTACTTGTTACATGTTTGTCTACCATTTTGTGAACAGCTGTTCTTTTTGAGCTCAACAAAATTTTTTCATGATACAATTGGGGTGCAAATCTAAAAGCATGCTTTCTCTTAAATTACCAGCTAGTCTAAATGAAGATATTTAAATAAAGATATTTAACTATAATCCTTGAGCAGAAACATTGTTGGGTAGGACTCCAATTGGTGAATAAAGGGGTGGCCAACCTTTGTTCATTAATAAGGAGCCTCCAATGATCTCCAGAGTCTCTTGGGAGACACCCCCAGTAATTTGGTGATGGTTAAAAGTGTTCCAGAAAAAAATAAAAAATAAGGTGTTCTCATGAAAGATGTTCTTAGTACAAAACTAAAGTAAGAAGCAAAGGTTTTCATATGTGTATAATAATTTAGTATTATTAATTTCATAGTGTATTGAAATGTATTCATGCTTCCGGATGTATAGTTCTTCAAAAGGTAAAGCAAGGGTTGCTTACGGATGAGACTTTTGTTCAAATTCAGACCTTTGCCTTTAAAAAACTTATGTGTATTTCATTAAATGATAACAGATTGGGGAAAAGCTTATGTATTAGATAAAGATGATTGGTTGAGAGGGTTAGGTTATGTCAAAATGCAATTTTAAGTATGTTACAAAATGTCATGACTGTCATGCAGCAATGTTATGTGTGGATTTGGTTTCCGATTTCAGTGTACAAACATGTAATTATTATCTGTTAACATTATAGAGGGATTTAAATGATAGGATGTTAATGGTTGTTAAGAAAACAACAGTTTCAGGGGCCGGGGATATAGCTCAGTGGCACAGTGCCTGCCTAGCAAGCGTGAGGTCATGAGTTTGATCCCCGGTACCACAAAAAAAAAAAAAGAAAAGAAAACAACAGTTTAATTTTATGTTCTAAGGTGTCTGATATTCAGATAGATAGTAGCGTTAAGCTTTATTTACTGCCTCTGTTATTTCAGATCAATAGTATGGTTAATGTCACATAAGGTTTTGATTGTTAAATTTCTGGGTGGATATATGTAATTGTTGTTTGTTAATATTCTATTAAGATTTGAATGTTGGAATATCTACAGTTGTTAAAAAATTATGGTTCCATTTGTATGTTCAAAGGTGTTTGCTATTTAGATTATATTTTTGTTTTTCTTTTGGTACCAGGAATCGAACTCACGACCTTGCGCTTGCCAGGCAGATGCTTTGCCACTGAACTAAATCCCCAGCCCCTATTTAGATTATATTATAATGTTAGGCTTGTTGCCCTTGTTACGATCTTATATTATTGATCTTCTCTGCTGGATGTTTAACAACTGAGATCTGGAGGCTAAATATCAGATAGCTAATTTGGGCTAAAAACACAGCCAATATTTTGGCTATGTCCTCTGAGGTCAGTACAGACTCAGGACATAAGAGAACCTCTACTATGACACCCTATAACTCACTTGAGTCCTTGATTTTCTGATCAAGGAGATTATGGGACCACAGAGGAAAGTGATTCTATGACTATAGTGTGCCTAAGGAGAGTCAGTAAGACAGAAAAAATCTCTCAGGCTTTCACAGAAAAGTACCTTGGTCAAGCAATTGCCATGACTCATCCAAATGGCTGACACAGAAAATCAAGAGATGCAGCATTTGGTTCCAGGAAGATTCCTGAGGAGACCTCACTGACCCTGATAGATAATAAAAGGTTAAAACTTTTATTTATACAAGTCTCACTCTAACTCAGTCTTAGATATCCAGCAGACAAGTGTGATCTCAAGATGTAGATTGAAGGCTAATTATTGTTATGGACTCTGAATTATGTTCTTCTTGCAAACATCCCTTGTCATTTCTTGTGATATTATCATTGTACTTTGCCTCATCCCCTTAATCTAGCGAAGTTCATCCAGGAAATGCTGAGAAACAGAAAACAGTTGGTAACCTTCTCGTTGATGCTTCAAAGAATTGCATTAAAACGAAAAGGGGAACATGTGGGGGAAGGACTGTGATTGCTAATGAACCGATTACCAACGGTTGGCTTATGACCCCCAGCCATGCTGAGTGCACGTGGTGCGGGGTGTGGGAGGCTCGCCTGAGGATTGTTACCATCAGCTGAGAGGCAGAAATGGAAAGGGATAATGAATTTCTCCTGTTGGTCTGAGTTACGTGCTGGGTTTGAATAAAAGGCGATTGAGAGGCGTGATTGGGGCCGCAGTCCCAGAGGCTGTAAGCCCCCTGATCCCAGACTTTTGCCTCTCCTGTTTTTCTTATCTCTTTTACCTTTTCATCCACAGGCACCTCATTCTCGGGACCTGTCACTATGGTTAATACAAATAATATAGTAACAGATATTTGCCTGTTCTGTGCTTAAAAAAAAAAAAAAAGTGCTGCAAGGATTTGTCCCTTCCACCAAAGTTGAGTGTACCACCCTTTCATGAGCTGTTCGTGCATCCCCCACATTCACCTTCCCATTTATAAGGTAGGAAGCATACTTGAGGTCTCAAGGCTCTTTTCCTCTGTCCTTCACTTCCTGGCTACAGTTCTGTGCATCCCATTTCTAAAGTTTCTAGGTATGCTGTGTAGGGATCCACTGGGCTCTTGCTGTACCCCTGGAAGGAACAGCAGTGAGAATGAGGAAAATATACACAAATAACTGGGTCAGGTAGAGGTCCCCTCTCTCTTCAGCCTAGGAGAGGAACTGCAGAGCGTTTATTTATACCCTCCAGGGGTTGATAATTTCAGCCTCTCTGCCCAGCAATCAGTTAAGCTTCCAAGAGCCTCCAAATTCTTGGGCTGGTTTCATCCTGCACGCGTACTTTCCAGCTTCAGCTGCTCCTAAAATCGCTCTTCTCCTTTGTAAATGATGGGTGTTTAGGTGAAGCTGGAAAAGCTGTGCTTGGAGAATACAGTCCAAATATCCATAACAGTGGTCAGTTACCAGTCTAGCTGGCAATTGAATTTGTTGGTGATCTGAACCCTTTACAGCTAACAACTTACTATGGCATTGCTTTTTATACATCTTGTGGTTACACTTTTCTGCTGGATATTTAAGACCAAGTTAAGGCAAGATCCATATTAATTTTTGCTATCAAGGTCAATTAAGGCTCCTCAGGATTACCTTGGATCCATGCAGCTCTCAGATCCACTGTTAGTGTCAGCCATCTGGATGAGTCACAGCCATTGTCTGACCAAGTTGCTTTCTGTGAAAGCTTGAGAGACCTTTTCTCTCCAGGTAACCCTCCTTAGGCACAGTGTACATGCTCAAATCACTTTCCTCTATGGTCCCATAATCTCCTTGATCAGAAAATCAGGGACTCGGGGGCTGGGGATATCGCTCAGTGACACAAGTGCCTGCCTGGCAAGTGCAAGGTTGTAAGTTCGATTCCTGGTACCAGAAAAAAACTTTAAAAGAAAAAAAAAGAAAATCAGGGACTCAACTGAATTACAGAATGCCATAGCATCTCATAGGTTCTCTTTTATCCTGGGTTCATGCTGACCTTGGAGGGCTAGGGCAAAAATATTGGTTACCCCCTCTTAGCCCATTTACTTTTCTAATTTTTGGTCTGTGGACCAGTGGATAAACATTCACAAGAGAAGCTTAATGACATTACACAGTAATGGAGGCAGTAATCTAAACATTGCTATCTATCTGAGTATTAACCTCCTTAGAATATAAAATGGAACTGCTATTTTCTAACAACCATGGATAGCCTATCATTTAAGTCCCTATGGAATTTTAACAGATAACAGTTACATATTTTTACACAGAATTCTACAAGTCAAAACCATACATAACATTACTGAGAAAAAAAAAACATTGCTGAATGACAATCATGACATTTTGTAATGTACTTAAATTTTCATTTTGACGTAACCCTTTTAACCAATCACCTCTATCTAGTACATAAGAAATTTTTGCCTAATTTGTTATCCTTTGATAAGATATACATAAGTTTTTGTTAAAGGCAGAGGTCTGAATCTAAATGAAAAGTCTTATCATAAGCAATCTTTGCTTTGCATTTTGGAAGACCTATACATCTGAGCTCTCAGTTTTGGGATTTTTTTGTTTTGTTTTGTTTTTTCCAGTACTGGGAGTTGAACTCATGACCTTGCAGTTGCCAGGCAGGCACTGTGCCACTGAGCTAAATCCCCAGCCCCAGTTTTTTTGTTTTTTGGTACTGGGACTCAAACTCAGGACCTTGTGCTTGCCAGGCAGGTCCTGTGCCACTGAGCTATATCTCCAGCCCAAGACGTATATCTGGAATTGTGAATACATTTCATACATCATGAGATTAGCAATGCTGAATTACCATACACATGTGAAAACCTTTGTTTCTTAATTTACATTTAAAATGTGCAATTTGATGTTTCATTCATATAGTAGTTTGTTTTTCTGTTTTTTTTTTGTGTGTGTGTGTTTTTCCAATACCAGGAATCAAACTCACAACCTTGTGCTTGCCAGGCAGGCGCTGTGCCACTGAGCTAAATCCCCAGCCCCCATGTAAGTAGTTTGAAAACAGCATATATAAATCATTAGACTATTTCTGGAGTCATGATGACATATCCTTCACTTCTTGGAGTTCTCTGTGCTATTTTGTGTTTGCTTCTGACCTTCCTGCCTTCCCATCCTTCCATCACAGACTGTCCCTGATCTGATTTTTTTTTTTTTTGTACTGGAAATTGAACTCAGGACCTTGTGCTTGCCAGGTGGGTGTTCTACCACCTGGCAAGCTATATCCCTGGCTGTTTCTTAATTTAGTTTTGTACCAAAAGCATCTTTTATGAGGAAACCTTATTTATTTTTTCTGGAAAACTTTATCTTTTGTCCATGACCAAATTATTGGGGGTGTCTCCCAAGAGACTATGAGATCACTGGGAGCACCTTATTAATGAACAAAGGTTGGCTACTCCTCTATTCACCAATTGCAGTCCTGCCCAATAGTTTTTCCTCACCCTGAGGAACTGTGGTTAAATATCTTAATTTTGATGGACTGTGAGAAAACCAATTTTGATATCACTTAAACCAGCCAGTAACTCAGATGAAATCATGCTTTTAAGTCTATAATCCAAATTGTATTCTGAACAAATGCTAAAAGAAAAATTGTTGAGCTGAAAATAAAGGGGAACAGCTGTTCACAGAATGATAATCACATGAACAAGTACACAGAACAAATGAACAGACTTCTTAACATCTTATAAAATCAGACTGCACTTATATTCTAGACCATATTGAACTATAGTAATTATTACAATTTTTAGAATTTATAA